AAAAAAAAAAAAAAAAAAAAAAAAAAAAAAAAAAAAAAAAAAAGAAAGAAAAGAAAAGGGGAGGAATTGAGGATTTTTTCAGCCCGAGAAACTGGGAGGATGGAGTTAACATTTGCCTGTAAGGAGAAGATTATGGAGAGTACTGGTGGTGAGTGACAAGTCAGTAACTCAGTTTTGAATATTTTTTAATGGGCCGTACTGAAATATTTCAAATGGAAATGCCAAATAGTTTTCTAGTAAGTAGTCTGTAGTTCAAGGAGAAGAGATAAAAATATAGGAGACAGTAGAACTGGACATGTTTAGACAAGGAACTGGATGTGCTCTCTTAGGAAGTGCTGATGGACAAGACTCCAAGGGCTGAACTCTGGGATGTGCTAATGCTTGGATGTTAGCCGGGGGAGACACGCAAAGGAGACTAATGAGCAAGCCATGAAGTAGGAGACTGGGAGAGGGAGCCTTGGAGCTAGCTAATGAGTGCTTCAGGGGGTTGAATGGTGATTGGGAAATGACTGCAGGATTTAATGTTCTGGAGTTGGTTGGTAGCTTTGAGAAGATGCTTGCAGAGAAGTTTGGGGTTTAAATCCTGCCTGTGGCAGGTTCAAGAAAGAGTGAGGGGAAACAGGATGTTTAGAATCTTTTGGGAGAGATTTGTTGTTCAGGGAAATAGAGACTTGGATGGGAATTGGAGGGAATATAAGAGGTCAAGGGAGTATTTTAAAGATGGGAAATGTTACAGTTTGTTATAGCTTGCATGATGGTGGGAATGATATAACTGAGTAAAATGTTGTCTCAGAAGAGAGAGACACCAAACTGAAGGGTAGAAATTGGAAGGCTGCACTCACTAAGCCTGTATGATTGATTTCTTTGTTATGAACAGGATTTGACCACACTGACTGAGTTAGTTATGTAGAGGCAGAGGTGAGGATTCTTGGATGATTATAAATTGAATGATCTTTTCCAGGTCTTTCAACCATTTATAAAGGAATATTAGAAAACTTTTTGTTCACTAACTTATTTATCTATCAATGGAAACAATGTGCTTTTACTTCTAAGTAACGGAACCTTTCTTTTTTTTTCCTCATTGAGGTTGTTGGTACATTTTAGGTATACAGTACAGTTACATTCATTTTTGGGATCTTGTACCTTTACATGACAGGTCTTGGTTCTCATGTTTTCCCCTTGTCCCTGCCCTCCCTTCACCCAGAACATTCTATTTTTAGCAAATCAGGGCAATTGTGATTATTTTTACCACTAACATCCTGAGTCCAGGAAAGTCAGGAGGATTAGTAAAGAGTTTGAACATGGAGTAGAACCTCAGATGTGAGCTCTCTGCTCACACTGCTGTCAGTATCTATGAAACTTAGGGCAAGACCCTTAGGATTCTGAGCTTCAAAGTTCACCGGTATAATTATGATACCAGTGCTGTTGACTTTTCAGGTTATGATGATGATCTGATGCACATCCTGGACAAGGAGGAATGGCTGCTTATTTGCTGGGGTTTTGGACAGGCTTCAGGAGTGTTCAGGAGCCTCTTGAAATTGGATGCAAAGTTATGTATCATCTCCACAGACCCTCAAAATCTTGCCATCAGGTTCTCAAAAGGTTTCGTGATGACACAGCCAGAAAGCAGTTGTCTCAGTGATGGAGCTGAAACTATTTGCTCTGGCTATCAGTGCTGACCCTAAATCACAGTAACATTTTCTAGGCTCAAATAGTGTGCACTGTGGTGACTCTCGAACTTTAGTGAGCATCATAAGCACCTGAATGACTTCCATTGCAGATTGCCTGGCCTCATGGCTGTGGTTTCTGATTCAGTTGGTCTGGAGGGGGAACCTGCATTTCTAATAGGTTCTTAAACAGTGCTGATGCTGCTGGCCTGGGACTTGTCATTTGAGACTCACTTGTATGCTCACTCGCTGCCTATACTATGTAGATGTTTATTTATTTATTTTTTCAAAAAATTTTTTCTTTTTATTGAGTTTATTGGTGCAATCTAGGTATACAGTACAGTTACATTCATTACTGGGATCCTGTACTTTCACATGACAGGTCTTGGTTCTCATTTTTTCCCCTTGTCCCTGCCCTCCCTTCACCCCCTCCTCCCCTCCCCATTTACAAACACTTTATTTCCATTTTTTCATTTTCTCATATTTCTTTCTTTTCCCTTGTTCAATTTACCCTACCCTTCCCACTTTCCCTAACCTTTAGCTCTTTTCTTCCTATTTCACACTATTAATTATCCCATTAGGATCTTGGGTACTATTATAGTTTTTCACACCAGAGAGACTATTCAGTATTTACACATGTGTGACTTATTTATTTCACTTAGGAGTATATCCTCAATATGTATCCATTTTCCTATGAATGACTCTAATTTCTCATTCTTTATGGCTGAGTAATATTCCATTTTATAGAGAAACCACATCTTTTTTATCCAGTTTCCAACAGATGGGCAAGTTTTAGCTATTACAAACACTGCCACTATAAACATAGGTGTGCATATATCACTGTGATATGGTTCTTTTAATTCTTTTGGAAAGATACCCAGCAGAGGGATGGCTGGGTCAAATGGAACCTCTAGTCTCAGCACTTTGAGATGTCTCCATATTGATTTCCATAGTGGTTGCACCAGTCTGCACACCCACCAACAATGGAGAAGGGTTCCTTTCTCCCCACAACCCCAACAACATTTGTTATTGTGTGATTTCTTGATAGCAGCCATTCTTGGTGGGGTGAGGTGGAATCTCAGTGTTCTTTTCATCTGCATCTCTTGAATGACCAGTGATGTGGAACATTTTTTCAAATATTTTCTTGATGCTTTTATTTCTTTGTCTGAGAAATGTCTGTTCATTTCAGATGCCCATTTTTGAATTGGGTCTTTATATTTGGGGGTGCTGATTGTTTTGAGTTCTTTATATACTCTAGATAATAGTTCTTTGTCTGAGGAGCAGCTGGTAAAAATTATTTCCCACTTGTAGGTTGTCTCTTAGTTCTGCTCATGGTTTCTTTTGAAGTACAGAAGCCTTTTAATAAGATAAGATCCCAGTTGTTGATTCTATCTGCTAGTCCCTGTGCTACTGAGGATTTGTTCATATAGTCTTTTCCTATGGCAGTGTCTTCTAGAGTTCTGCCTAACTTATCTTCCAGCAAGTTTAATGTTTCTGTTTTAATACTTAGATCTTTAATCCATTTGGATTTTAATTTAGTGCATGGTGAAAGATAAGGGTCTAGTTTTAATCTGTGGCAGGTTGACATCCAGTTTTTCCAACACCATTTATTAAAGAGGCTATCTTTCCTCCACTGGGGATGGTCAGCTCCTTTGTCAAAGATGAGGTAACTGAGTACATTTGGATTTCTTTTTGTGTCTTCCAGTCTGTTCCACTGATCCTCAGGTCTGTTTCTTTGCCAGTACCATGCTGTTTTTATTACAGTGGCTTTGTAGTATAGTTTCAAATTGGGAATTGTTATAGCTGCTGCCATGTGTCTGTTGCCTAGGATTGCTTTTGCTATTCTAAGTCTCTTATGATTCCAAAAGAATTTTTGGATTCTTCTTTCTAGTTCTGTGAAGTATAGTGTTGGGATTTCAATTGGCATTGCATTGAATCTGTGTAGCAGTTTTGGTGGTATGGCCATTTTCACTATGTTGATTCTTCCTACCCAGGAGCAGGGGATATCTTTACATTTTCTTATATCCTCTTCAATCTCTTTTTTCAGAGTGCTGTAGTTTTCAGTGTAGAGGTCTTTTGCTTCTTTTGTTAGATTGATTCCCAGATACTTCATTTTTTGGGGTGCTATTGTGAAAGGAATTGTTTCCCTAATTTCTTGCTCAGTGAGTCTGTGTAGATGTTTAATAGGTATGTTATTGGAGAGGATTTGAATTTTCAGAAAGTGGGTAAGGGTCACTAATATTTAATGGTAACTGTTTCTACTTCTGACCTGTCTCTGTTAAAAAGAAAAATAAGCTTTTTTATATTTTGAGTGACCTTTTTGGACAGTGATAGCAATCCTTTTAGAGATTAAGGGCCCAGAGTGCAACCCAAAACCCATTTATTTATTGCAAAATATCAACACTGCAATTAAACCTGAATATCTGTTGCTCTGCTGCTGCTGTGATTTGGTTTGTGCATGGACAGATGTCTCTGGGTGCCAGCTGCGTACATGTACCATAGGTTAGCCACCACCATTTCAGAGCCTCCATAATAAAATACCATTGCTATGGTTCGGACTCATCCTCCAAAGACATGTGTGTCAAAGGCTTGTCTGTCAGCCTGTGGCACTACTGGGAGGTGGTGGACGCATTAAGCTTGGTGAAAAGGAGTTAGGTAATTGAGGGTATGTACTTGAAGGGGATATGGGGAAGTTGGCCTCTTCTGCTTTCTCTCTTTTTGATTCCCAGTTTCTAAGAGATGAAGACTTTCTCCATCATGTGCTCCTGCCATGATTTCCTGTGCTGCCACAGGCCCAAAGCAACAGGGTCAAGTAAACACGGAATGAAATCTCCAAATGGATGAACCGAAAGAAATCTTTCTTTCCTTAAACTGATTTATCTCAGGTATTTTGTCACGGTGCTAGAAAGCTGACTAACACAATCACAGGTGGCTTACACAGTAGATATTTATTATCTCATGGTTCTGGAGGCAAGAAGTCCAATATAAAGGTGCTAAGCAATTTAGTTTTTAGTAAGGCCTCTTTTTCTGGCTTGCAGCTAGCTGTCTTCTTCTTTTTTTTTTTTTTCATGTGACCTTTTCTCTGCGTGGGTATAGAAAGAAAGCACTGTCATCTCTCTTCTTCATTTAAAGGCACAAGTCGTCCTGCAAAAGAACCCACTTTTATGATTCCAAATATAGGCACACTGGGGGATTAGGGCTTTCATGCATGAGTTGGGGTGGGGAGCACAGTTCGGTCTAAAAGAAGCAGGGTGTATTGGTGGCTTACCACGCTGTCTTCTTTCATGAGCAGCATGGTACAACTCAACAGCTCTTAATATCTCTTCTGGGGGCCAAGATGTTGCCATATTCCATTCCAATATGCCTGCCATTTCCCTGCTGTTCTCAGAGGCTCACTGTGCTGCCTCAGGGGCAGGGACCACCACTTGGGTAAAATGGGTGTGCTAATCACAGATGTCTTGGGGTTCTTTGTAAGGCTTTCCCAAGAATTCAAAAATATGTTTTCTTTTGAAAATGGAGGAAAGAGCCTTTTGGAAATAAGTGCTTTTTGAAGATGTTTGCATCAGTGGTGAACAGGGAGTAAGGAATTGAAATGTAAGTACCATTTGTAGTTCAGACTTTGCTTTCTTTTCTTTTCTTTTTGCTGTGAAACATGGCTGGGAGCCACGGGCACCATTTCTTTTTAGGAGACTGATGCCCTCATTTACATGGCAGTCTTACACAGCTGCACACAATGCCTGTAAATGGACAGAAATTAGCATTTAGGAGCAGCATTCAGGAGCAGAAACACTCAGGCAAAACCTGTCACAACCAAGTAGGAAAAGGATATGTTTTAAACACTGCAGAAATTGTGTGCTGTGATTGATGGAGCTAAATTTAGATAATTTCATTTGTCCCTCACAAATGCCATTTTTCAAAATTGCACTTCCTTTCTATTTTAATTTTCTCTGTCCCGTCCTCATCTTCATTTTCTGTTTGCCCTTAATCCCTTAATACTTACTTCTTATCTTTGCTTGACAGTTCAGAATACTTAATATTTGGAGAAACTCTTTTCAATTAGGTCTGGTATCTGTCAGGGAACAGTAAATAAGCATAGTATTGTAGATTAGATTTTAAAAAGGCTATTTAAATCATATCGGTGTGATTCATATTAATATTTGAGATGCCAAGGGGCTTTTGAAGCTCTGGAACTACTCAGAGGAGACTTCAATGTCTTAATCCTTAAAATGTGGATGAGGAAAGAGAGGATGATTTCACGTTTACATGAGCAAAACCTGTTTTTACTAGGGCACTCAAGAGTTGGGGAACACAAAACAAAAAGAGTGGAAGACACTTGGTGTTGGGGGCATATTTTCTATTTTCCTGCTTAGGTTCCTTGAGTAGTCCCAACACCTACCCTCCTTAAAATCCATTGGGACTTTCCCACAAGCAATTGTAAACTATTTTTAAATAAGGCAGGGCTAGAGTATTAAATATGGCAAATAGCTGTAAATCCTGGAGAATTAGTATATGGATAAAGCTGCAGGTATTTATGCAGTGGTTTTGGTTCTGAAACCCCATATCTTAAGACATTTGAATATTTTTGGTTTGCAAAATACTTCCACTTATTTCTTTAATGTTAGCAGTGTCTACATTTTTATAACTCCTACTAAGGTATCTTGTGTTCATTACTGTCTCCATAAAAGCTAGTGATTTGGTGGCAATGGTACACTTTATGAGCTGTCATGGGATATGACACATATTATATTAAGGCGAGCAGGGAGACCATGAAAAACAAATCATAAAGTTGTCCATTTTCCTAGACAATTTTACATCTGTTTTCCTCATTTTTTAACATTTTAAATGATATATATGTTTGGCAAAGTAAAGTTGTGTTGCTTTTTCATGCTTGGTGCAATTAAGAACTATGATCTTATAAAAATGTACATTTTAATAGTTTTTCTTTTTAACCAAATATAGTAAAGAGAAGACGAAAATACTCCTTTCTGACTATGCCATGGACAACCTCTATAACTCTAAGACATTTCTGAGCTTCTTTCTCTGTTAGAAAGAAATAATATTGCTAAGTTCTATAGGTCCAGATAGAATATGGACACCAAGATGTAATTCAAGGAAACAATGTTATTTATACTTCTCAGATTGCCTCTGTGGGTGACTGCTGGGATATAGTCTTTATTGTAAATTAATACATTGGTATTTTAACTTATAAAGGTATCCATACAGCACAATCCCTATTGGAACTGATACTCTTTAAGAAAATTGGGTGCAAATGAAAAGAACATTGTATGGAAAACTAAATCTAAAGACTTTGATTCAGTTGTGTAGGTATCCTGTACTTTTACATATAAATGACCACTGTAACTAAAATTAAAAGTCAAATGTTAAATTGTGATGAAGTGTTGGTAATGAATATGATGGTTAAATGGTTAATGGCTTCACTTGCAGAAATTTTAAAAATCTGTCATAAAAATTCTCCAATTACAATAGAAAAAAAGAACAAAGGACATGAATAGGTAATTTATTAAAACATAAAATTAATAGCCAAGAATGGAAAAAAAAGCCACATTTAATTAGCTACCTCAGAAAGACAAGTTAAACTCTAATATCATTCCTCTTTATTGAATAAGAAAGATTAAAAATATAATATTTAATATTTAATCATATATTTAACACTAATAATTGCCTTAGCACCTTTAAGATGGTGCTGAGAGAGTCAAAGATGGAAAACTTCTTTGGATATATGCACTTCAGGATGTGAACCAATGTATCACACGATTATTGCCACACTGTGCTTGGTGGCCCTGGGAAAGGAGATGGATTTTGGACAGTTCACCTCAGCTTAGAGGCCAGCACTAGCTTGACCTTGCCTCCAGCGTGACTTTAAGGAGGCTGCTAGTTTCTTAAACCTTCTGATTTTCTTATTTTTTTCTCTATGAAATAATTTGTATTTACTGTGAAGATGCATTAAAATAAAAAAAAAGTGCGTCTCGAAAAAAGTTGCTGCTTGATAAAGGTGATATCAGAGGAGTAGAAAGTAGTGTAGTGGTTACCAGAGGCTGAGAGAGATGCAGGGGAGGGAGGCAGGTAATAGAGAGTTGGCGGGTAAAGGGGTGCAGTTGAATGAGAGGAATAACTTTTCGTGTTCCACAGCACGATGGTGTAACTATGGTTGACAACAATTAATTGTATATTTCAAAATAGCTAACAGGATTTTGAATTTTCTCAATGCAAAGAAATGACACATGTAGAGGTGATGAAGATGTCAGTATTCCAATCTGATCTTTATATGTTATAAACATGTATTGAAATACCATACTGTATCTCATAAATATATATAATTACTATTCAATTAAAAATTAAAAAATAAAACAATTGCAAAAATAGCTACTTAATACATGATACCTATTATATTGTTTTGGATTTTTTTCTATAGTTTCAAACACAGAATTTCTAACTTTGTGTCTTGTAATGTCAAAGGCTTGATCATTCAAAGTAGGGGCTCAGGGTACAAATATTGAGGAGGAGCTGGCCAGCCCTAGGCTGCCTTGACAGGATGACTCTGGATGGCACTGACTTATCTACAACAGGGAACACTTTTTTTTTCCCCAATAGCAGATACTGGAATCCATTTTTCTTCCCTTCAGAAATCCATATTGGATTTTACAGCATGGCACATAAAATCTATGCAGAGCAGAGTGAGACATACAGAAGAGACAGGGAGCAGGAAACAATAAAGCATCTTACAAAAGAAAAAAAAACCCCACCAAACAAAAACCCCGGATTCCCTGGACAGAAGGCCTATTCTCCTATGCCAAATATACTCAGGAGTATACTGCAAGAACATCTGCAGAAAGGAATCAGGAATGAATCCCTCTGAAGAGTGGCAGTCGGTAAACCTGCTGTACTTAAAGTATACAGTACCAATTGTGGATAAAATCCTCATTTATTTAAAGACAGAGAGGTTATGAGCAAGACTCTGATACTAGTAAGCAGTCTCCACATATGGTCCTGGAAGAGGTCGGAGCACAGAGCAAGAGGACGTATGCAAGACCAAGTCAGAAAAGTGACTGGCAACCTCAGCCAGGAAGAGGTTTCTCTAACTGTGTGGTGATGAGCAAGTGAAATTAACATTCGAATAATGCTGCAAACATGCTTATAGTTGATTCTGTATATGTATAGTCTTCATATCTACCAACTCAACATACTCTAATCTGAAAAACAGCAGGATTGCAGGTTCTTTCTCATTTCAGTGCGTCTTCAGTGTTACTGGGAATCTTTACAGAATGGCAGCTAGTTGACGGAAGTCCGTAGAATCAATTTCTTCTATCCATCATCTTCTTTCTCTCCAGGGTCACTTTCCACCTGTGCACACTTGATGCTGCAGACCTTTGGACAAGCACTGATGCTGGTCCTGACATCACAAGAACACTAGTGCCCTCGTGGAGGGTGACAGCTCTGTGTACTCTCAAAGCTTCTGGTTTTGAAGCATCAGGTCAGAGCTGGGTCCTGGCAAAGGCTGGGGACAGAGCACGTTCCTCATCTCAGTCACGATCTCCCAGGTCTCTGAGGTAGATCTCTGTGCCTATCTTTAGCATTGTTGCAAATTCAAATTTGTCCAAGGGAACCAAATGTGCAATAACCTCACTCTGGCCAATGTATCTTCTGAGTCTCCCACTCCATCCAAGGATCGTTTGTCCTGTTTGAGTACAACCATTCCTCTCCTCACGTTGCAGCCCACAGTGGCCTGCAGGAGACCTGAGAAACTAATGTGAGCAAGGAGTGTGTCAGCAGGTCACACACTTGTATCCTGAAGTCCAACCTGCTGAGTTAACTCTCACCAAGATGAGATCTCATTCACACCATAGCATCAGAAGCAGCCTCTCTCACTTTGTCCTCCTCACTGTCCTTGTAAAGTTTTCAAGAAAAGAACCTGCACTGTAACAGAACAAATGAGGCAAACCCAACTGGAAATGCTCATTCTGTCTCCTGAGCTGGCTGGCCAGTGTAATAGGTTTTCCCTCTTCCCAGAGGAGCTGAGAGGGCTTGTTAGGAGCTGGGTGTGGCTCATATCCTTGTGCTTCTGTACAGGTTATGCTTCCTGATGCTGCCTTTTATCAGCTCACAATTTTTCTCGCTTAACAGCGAGCAATTTCTCATTTCCTTCCTCCTTTGATGTATGATCTTTCAAATATTCATAGATGTTTTCCCTGCCTTTTTTGTTGTGAACCCAGGGTGCTTATCTTCAGTGCTTCAATCACATGAGTTTTACCATTCTGAGTTCTTACCCAGTGTGTGACAGCTGGAGCTTTCGAGAGCCCGGCTCCCGGAATAAGGGGATAGAGCAACTGGGCATAGGCCCCTGGGACACACAACATCAGCAGGGATGGTGATCAGTTGGCCAAACTGACCCTGTGCCATTTCTCTAGGCTTGAACTTCAACTTAAATTTGCCTGTTCATCGTATGTCAGAAAGAGCAAAACTGGAGCATTTGTGCAGGCTTTTGTTTGTTTTTAGGTGGGATCTGAAAACAGGCAGCTCCCTGTTCTGTGCTGGAGTGGACAGGAATTTGAACGTGGGGATAAGGGTTGGATATAGAGCCAAATAGAGCCAGCTCTACAGACTTAGGTAAGTGACTTAAGGTCTCTAGTTTATTTCCTGCATCTATACATGTTGGTAATGTGGGGGATGAAAGTGAAATGTTTGACTATGGCTCAGTCATCCTGAGTGCACAGTAGATGTAAAATAGGGATATCTGTCTCCTGCACTTTCCAGCCAGAGAAATTTAAATTTACTACTTCTGTCACTCGCCACTCATGTGACCTGCTTGGGGATCAGCAGGATTTCTGTAAAGGGCCCTGCAGCAAATATTACAGGCTTTGGGGACCACTGTTATACAGCTACTCAGTACTGCACCTGTGCTGAAGGCAGCTATAGACGATACATAAACAGAAGTCCATGATTGTGCTCTGATACGACTTTATGTCTCAGTCAGTACAGACCTCTGTAACAAAATGATAGAAATCAGGTGGCTTACAAAAGACAGAAATTTATATTTTATAGTTCTGGAGGCTGCAAAGTCCAAGATGAACTCATCAGCAAATACTCCCATCAGTGGGGATATTTGGTGAAGGCCCATTTCCTAGTTCACAGGTAGCGCCTGTTTACCGTGTCCCACATGGTAGAAGGGGGAAGCTGGCTCTCAAGGGTCTCCTGTAAGGACACTGATCCCATTCATGGTGATCCACTCGCATCATATACACATCATGTCCTAACACCAACTGTCTGCCAATTAGGCTTCTGTGAATGAATTCTTGGGGGTCCTCAGCATTGTGATTACAATACTTTATACACTTGAAAACTTGAATTTCATATCATTTTTATATGTCACACAATGTTCTTCTTCTTTGGATTCATTCTTTGCTCTCAGGCCAAATGCAAACAAAGTAGTGAGCTGATTTGGTCTGAGTTCGTTGGCCTTGCCCTTTAGTTCAGTACTTCATCTCCCTAGCTCGTTAGCCTCTCTCGTGAATTGAGTCACTGTGTATTTCAAAGAGGCAGAGTGTTTGACACATACTAAGTGTTCAATAAATTGCTGCTGCTGTTGTGTCACTATTCTTATTCACATTAAAAAGTGGAGATCCATATGCTGTAGCGGTCAGTAGTTTTAGTTTAATATGATTATTGTTAAGAAAAAAAGGTTGCAGTTTAGTCCCCCTTTTTTAGCTTGGCTTATCAATAGTAGTTAAATGGAAAGCAATTTTAAAATGTCATTGATAAGCTTCTCATCTGTTGTATGGTAAAACATTTATCTGGTCTTTATTCCTGCCAGGGAGTTTTTAAACATTTGGAATTTCCCAGTTGATAAGAGAGGCTTTGTTACTGATTATGGACCACCTGGGATCACCTGTCAAAGAGGTGACAAGTTGTTGGGTTCCTAATCTCAGTAAGGAGTTTGGACGTGCCAGAGAGACCTTACTACTTGGTAAGAAGTGTGGGTGGCCTGGTGGCCCTGGAGCTTGTGGCTTCTGTCTGAAGTGATGGTTGTCTTGTAGGGAACTGCAAGGGTTTGTGAAGTCTGTAGGAACTTTGGATAGCAACTAATGTTTGAAGTGTATTCCAACATCTAATCTGAAATCTAAGAAATTTATATATTGTGCCTAATTAGTGAAAGCTATGGAATAAAGCAAAGGACTTTGAAAGGACTCTTCGAAGCTGGTGTTTTAAAACTATACAGCAACCAAGGGTGATGATGCCAGATTCATTTAAAGATATATTCCTGCTCTGAAGAAAACAATATAAAATATCCCAACACGGAGGGCACACATTTCATGTAAGGAGCACCTGTGACCAATGAGAAATAAGTGTGTGTACCCTTACTTGACATGTCTTGGGCTGCCCGGCTAGAAACATATAACAATGCAGGACATCCAGTCAAATTTAAATTTTAGGTTAAAAAAAAATTGTACAGTATAACTTCGCTCTAAACGTGCATGGGATCTGCCCACAGGAAGAAGGAGACTGTTTCTGCTTCACACTCTTGTTTCCGCTTTGCCTCTTATCTTAGTCACTTTCTCATTGCTGGGACAAAATACCTGAGACATTTGTGACTCAGAAAGGGAGAGGTTTATTGTGGTCCTTGTTTTTCAGAGGTTCCAGTCCACAGTTGGCAGGAAGCCGCAGTGGAAGAGCCTTGTGGAGGAAAAGTCGCTCATCTCATGACAGCCAGGAAGCAGAGAGCAAAGGGAGGAGCTGGGGAGGAAGATACAGCCTTCTAGGCTCCATCCTCGATGCCCCATTTCTTTAAAGCAGCCCTCACCTCCTAACAGCATGTTTAAGTATAAAAATATCAGTGGACTAATCCATGATCCAATCACCACCCCAAAGCCCTACCTATGATCTCGTGAGGCTTTAGAGGATCATCTAGATATAAACCATAACCCTGTGAGAGAAAGAACCACTTGGAGTCCTTCTGCCTGTCTCCACTGTTAGCCCTACAGCAAGGTCGGGGGCAATGTCAGTGGGAAACGGGTTCAGTTTCTTGGTGGCGGCAATGCGCTTGGGCACCACGGAGGGATGAAAGGCACGGCTTCCTGGGGTGGCTGACCAGTTTGATAGGTTTCACCCCGAGACGACCCAGCTGACTCCTCCTGAACCCAGCTGCTACCGACCCAACCCAGCTGCTACCGACCCTTCCCAGCTTCTCACACTTCATCTCCGTTGTGGGCAAGCTGACCAGAGGCCACAGCTTACTGGACAGGAGGACAGGGGGCTTTCTTGACATAGAAAGAAACAGCTTCCCGTGGGCAGTGTGGAGTAGAATGCACTCTCCCTGCCACTGAAGTCAGCCTTTACCTGGAAAATGTCTGGCTTCTCAGCTGCTAATACAGAGACATTTAGCATGGCATCTCATTGGACCTCTTGTACTTTCCTCCCTTGGCCAGACTCTAGAGGTGAAGAGACTCAGGATGGGCCTTGGTCCCTTGACATGCATGTCTACAAGCCTAACTTTATAATAACACACAGAGTAGGAATTAGTCTATTATTCCATTATTATTTTACAGGTGAGAAAGTGAGGTCCTGAAGTATACTAGATTGTTCTCTTTTTTTTGCTCTTCTCCTTCTTCAAGGAACTTATCCTTTTTAGGTAAAAAGAGCAGAAAACCAAGACCAGACCAGAACCATAACAAGCCTTTATTATAGGGAGGACCACTGGGCTTTCTCTGAACAAAGGAAAGAGAAAGAGAGAGAGAGAGAGAGAGAGAGAGCAACATGGCAGCACAGGGAGCTTATTTTATAGGAGTAGGGTGGGGTTAGCCCAAACTATTCCTGGCTTCTCCAAATCATGCCTTGGCTACTTCCCTTGTTGGGCCCCACTGGCTGGCTTGTATTTGTCTTTTAATCATGATAGGGCCTTGTCTGGTTCACTGTTTTCAAAATTTTTCTACAAAAGCACATGAGGGCATTTACCAACCAGACAGTCACAAAACTTGTCATAGTGGGGTATCGGCCACTGTGGCAGAGGGAAGAAGCCCCCACCTACTGCTGTCCCCATCAGATCCAGGTTTAGCCCCGACCTTCGCCCCTTTGTCAGCTTAAAGCAGATAAAAAAAAGAGACCTTTGCCCGATAACCATAAAACAAAAAGCCTGGAATGTTAGATTTCCCTTGCCTTAAGATGGCTGCCACATGGAATAGCAGCCTCCATGTCAAACTATGGCTTCTCCCAATGAAGGTAGGCTTCTTCTTCCCATTGTGTCTCTTCTCCTGTCAAAAGAGTAACCTGATATTTGCTACCTCCTAGCAGCCAGGGATGTCATAAGCCCCTCCTAGTGATGTCACGGGCTCCTCCAATCACTTAATACTACCTTACTCAACTCCACTTCAGCTCAGGCTACACCCCACTCTTAGAAAAGAAGCTCCTTGTTCTGCTATGTTGCTTTCGCTTCCTTGTTCAGAGACAGCCTGGCAGATCCTTCCCATATTAAAGGCTTATTATGGTCCTGGTGTGGTTTTGGTTTTCAGCTCTTTTTACCTAACAATCCTAAATCAGACAGCTAAGTGGTAGAGCCAGAACTTGGGCTCAAGAATGGATGGAGTTCATACTCTTACTCACTGTATTGGTTATGGTTCTCTAAAGGAACAGAATCAATAGAGAATAGAGTATAATTGTGCAAGGGGATTTATCAGATAGGCTTACAGGATCAGAAGCTGTCTGCATTCTGTCAGCCGGAGGGTCCTGTACCTGTTCAGCCCAAGAAAATGGAAGCCACAGAATAAGAGGGATAAGGGATATGGCAGCAGTCCAAGGTTAAAGGTCTAGAATCTCTCTGTAGAGTCACCTGTGCGAGACTGTATGGAAGCTGAAGAAACTAGAGACCCTTTCCAAAGAGCATGGTGAAGACTGGGCTCTTCATAAATGGAATTCCTTTTTCTTTCCCCTTTTTATTCCTTCTAGGCTACCAGCCAATTGGTTAGTGCTACACACATCTGGAGTGGGTCTTCCCCTTCAGACTGTTGCCTACATATCAATCATCCACAGGCACACCCATATTTGCGCTTTACTAATCTGTTATGTGTGTCTTAATCCATTTATGTTGATGTCTCGTGATTAATGATCACACTTACTAAGCTATATTGCTTATTAGAAAAACTGTGATATCAGCTGACGTATTGGAGACAACACATACCTGTGTCAAGGGACTTAATCCTTACAACTATCCTAACATTAGAAACTATTGTTAACCTATTTTATAAATGACTAAATTAAAGTACAGAGATGTTATCTACTTTCCTAAGCTACCAAGTAAATAAACAGCAGAATCAGATTTTGAACCCTGAGCCCACTGACTTGTAAGAGAAGCATGCCAGTCTTTAAATTCACATGAGGACAGCTATTTGAGGGACAAGACATGTAACAGGAGGGTAGACCAACTCTTGTTTTGTTCAGTGTCTGGGACACCATCCCAACCCTTGAACTTTCCTGGGTTTGTCTCTTTCTTTGACATAGCAGGAGGAAGAGGAGAAAAAAAGATATGTCACAGAGCCAAAGTAGATTTATTTCAGCAAAGCAAAAGTAAATTTGCTGCAGAATTGGTTCAAAGCCACTCTGAGGAGTGGGAGCCCCAGAGTTAGGAGACCACTGGATATTGGGATAGAAACTGTCTTCACCCACCCAGAGGGTCTGCACTTAATTGGTTAGTGGGGTCATTGCTGAGGGTACAAGTCAACAGTGTGTCAGGGTAATTACATTTCACAGTTTAGGAACATTTTAGGAAGAAACCACCAAGAGTGTGAGTGGGCCACTTCTGTGAGCCAGTCTGAAGTCCTCTCTTCAGAAGTAAAACCACAAAACTGTCTGTTTTCATAGACACAGAGGCTGCTTTTCTCCAACCCTCTAAAAGGGTCCATATCCTTTTACTCTAGCCCTATCTAAGGGTCCCATCTTTCCTTACACTCTGGGACTACTGGCTGGAGATGGCTGTACCCTGTGTAA